AAGTTATGTGTTTGTGAAAATGCTCAAGCCACAATAACTTTGTTTTTGTTGAATAAATTTCATGACTGTTAATGTGATGTATCTTATGTCATGAGAATTAATTCTTGATTTTACATGAGCAATTGAATTGTTGATTTTGTGGAGAAATTGAAAAGAGGCATAAGCTAGTAATTACATAATTGATGTGAACCTTAACTCTCAATTCGGTAAACATGTTGAAATCTCTCAAAAAACCGAATTTAGTTCACTTATCAATTATGGAATTATTAGTGAGATACTATTGCACATTATAGGTTGATATAATTTTCGATTCTATTCATAAATAAACTCTTATTTTCAATGCAAAAACATAGAGTTTGAAAATTAAATCAACATTTAATTTTGGCTCTTTTTTACTGTTTCAGACACTTTTTGAGCATAAGGTCACATGCGCTTAACGGTTATTACTCAAGGTACTTAGATAGGATGTTTGGATAGTCTTTGAAGCGAATTTTCATGTTTTCGGATCAAAATTCGGCCCGGTTCATGCTTTTATGTTGTTGCTGTCCCGTGCACAAAAACGCATCAAAAGTGTCACTTTCACTTAGAATTAATACACAAAACCTACTTTTTTGAATCTGTTGGCACGTTTAGATGCAACCATGCGATTTTGAGCCGATTCTGTTCCGATTTTTTCGGTGCGCTTAATTTTCGGAATTTACGCTTTTTTGCTTCCGTTTGGCATGTACGTTGAGCTTAGACACTCATATAATGTATGTTTGTATTGTATTGGCCATTTGTGCATCATTGCATACGCATTTGCTTGTTTCCGTTACACTTGTCGGCTTGTTTCACGTTTTCACCGTAGTGCTGTCCGTTTTGGTTTTCGCCTTTCTTTATTAATTTGCATTCTACTCCATTGCATTTCATTTTCACTTTTTTAGTTGCAATTTGGCAATTTTTGTTGCGTTATTATTTGCTAACCAATTTTTATGGATTGTGCAAGGTACACTATGAGAGTTTTCGATGTGATTGAAAATGCATTTGATTTGTAGATTCGCTTCCGATGTGATTCATTTTGTTTCTCATTTCATGAGAAATACATACTATTTGTAATTGTATGGATATTGCTTTGCTTGTATAGTGTTATCTTGTGCAGGAACTCTGATGCAACACGATACATTTATGATTTATTTTCGCATGTGATATTCTTTGAATATTATTTCTGACTATTGCACTTTTTTGGTGAAGCTTGCTTGAAGTATTTCGGGTTTCTTGCTCGTTTGCTTTGCTACGAACTATTATTCGATTGGTATTCTCACTTGCTTCTTTTTTATCTCTTACATCTTTTACCATATTTTACCGCTTTTATAGATATCATGAGAAGCAGGAAATAAAGAACGTGCGCTCGAAGTTGTTGTTTAAAGACCTGTAGCAGGCATTCCGTACTTATTTGCTACTTGTGTTTGTGCTTATTGCTTTCTTTATTGATGATTGATGATGTCACTCAATTATAATTGAGACAACAACTTCGATCTTTGCATGTTTCCCATAGAATTTTATTGCTTTCTATATTGACGATCGATGATGTCACTCAATTAGAATTGAGATAACAAATTTGATCTTTGTATGCTCCCCATAGGATCTTGTGGCTTTATTATTTTGATGATCGATGATGTCGCTCAATTAGAATTGAGATAACGACTTCGATCCCTTTGCATGTTCCCTATAAGATAGTTATTCTTACCCTTAGGTCTTTTGCATGTTAACGTAGATAGACATTTCCCTTTTAGCATTTTCTTCCCTCTTTTGCATATGCATTAAAACTAAAACTTTTCTTTTTCTCTCAAACTTCAAAAATACTCTAATAATACAAAAACTCTTTTTCAAGGTAAAAAAAATCAACCAATCCAAACTCTTTTCGCCTTCGGGCCTTTCATCGAGACTCTCAAAAGGATGTGTTAGTTCTACTTTAGGCGGTATGACGTGTAAATCTCCAAAGGTCGGGTTACACTCATGTCTACTTGCCAAAAAATTGCGTATGAAACATTATCTGCCTTCGGAAATTTTTCTTTTGAAGATACCTCGTCAGGTACGGGCATGTTAGTTTCTTTCTACTACAGACGCGTGAATCTCCCAGAGTCAAGCAGCGGTAGAATACAAAGCTTAGCATTGTTCCATTAAAAAACACAAAATAAATCAAAACATGTGAGCCGAACTACGGCGCTCTGACTTTCCCATTGCACGAGGGAGTACGTAGGCACTAGGCTGCGGGGCCTAAGCGAGTGAAACTTTATAAATATTCCTTCTTTTTCCCCGTATTTTCTTTCGCATGCATTCCTTCTTAGCAGTAAGCTTTAGACATACATTTTTACAGACTCTTGGATGATAACAAACAAAAGTAGATCCTGACGAGTACCACAGACATGTGGGGTGCTAATATCTTCTTCTCGCATAACCGACTTCCTTAACCGTTCTTTTGGTTGCAAGATCATCTTATCTGTTTCTTTTGGGTTCTCTCGATATCTTCCCTTCCTTCGAGATAAATAGAGTTCGATGGCGACTCTGTTTTTTCACGACACGAAACATGGTTTGACAAAGTTCATTCAACGAAATACATAACAAAACAAAGAGAAGAAACAAGTAAAAATTTATACCTATTCGTTTCATATATGTCTAGCAACATGGTCCGAGTACAGAGGCAACAAAGATAAATCAGGCGGTCCTCCTCCAAAACTCTGAAGCACCGCAGGTGCCAGCTCAAATGTCTGAGATGTCTGGGGTGCCGTCTAAGGTGCCGACTCAGGTTCCTGAGATGTCTGGAGTACCGGCTCAAGTGCTTGAGATGTCTGAGATACAAGTTGTGGTTGGATCTGAGGTGTCGCATGTGTGACCTCTAGTATCGACTGGGAACCGAATGCCTCTCTCGCCTCAAATACCATCAGTGAGGAAGTACGCCTACGGGAGGACGGAGGCGGGGAGGGATGCCTTGGAGAACCTCGCATGGTGTGGGAGGGCGATGCAATCGAAGTAGAAACAAGAACACCAGAGACAGAGGTTGTAGTACGCGTATCTGGCACAGCCTGACCAAAGACAGCATGAGCCTGCGATGCAGAACTTCTTTCCCTCCGCACAAGCATGTCGTGTAAGTCTGTCATGCCTCAACCTAGATGGTCTCTCAGTCATTACTTCTGTAGAAGTACAAAACAAACGTTAACATAAGAACTATTGTTCAAAAATAAGAGAAAAATAAAAACAAACAGACTAAAACCGGAAATGCATTTCCGGTCTTCTTCAATGTTAAAATAAAAATCGGAAATATATTTCGGGTACGACCTGCAATTCAAAGCTTTGTCAATGGCGAAGCAGAGCCACAAATGCCATCAAAATAATGATCATTGATCATGAAAAAGATGTTTCAAACATGTTTCTTATGACTCACTAACATTGAAAACAATAAACAACTCACAATTTCTATCCTAAATCACAATTTTGAGTAGAAATTACATAAACTCTAAAAAGCTCAAAAACAACTTACAATTGATGATTTTTCTTGATTTGAATGTGGTTGAACACTTGAGTTAACTGATGCTTGATGATTCTTGATGAGTTTTATGCGAAGTGGTTTGATTTTGTAACAATAGCGTTTGAGAGGGTTGGGAGGGTTGTGTATTTTGATTTTGTGTTTGAAAAGAAAACGTTTTTGTAATGGGAGGGGAAAATGCAGCGTGCCTTTAAGTCTTAACACGAACCAAAAATATACATCTGGTTGCAAATGTAAATATATTTCCGGTTTCTATATTGGCTTGAGCTTATGTGTGTTTAGGTGCGTGTTTGGGGTGCAACCGAAAATATATTTACGTAATCGGATGCATATTTTCAGTTTTCACCCAACTTTTAAATGCAATTTATGTCTAATAAATTGTGTATCGAAAATATATTTTCGATTTTCAAAAACATTTTTAAAATTTCGCGTAGTGCGCTAGAAAATTATAGGATGAAAAAAAAATCTTCTTATTTTTTTTATTAATATTAGATATGGTTCAAAGAATGTTTAAGGTGCGCTCTCGGATTCCAATTTCATAATTCTAACAATATTTTGAAATTTTCGCAAGATGCATGTGTAATACATCAGATGCAATGAACATTCATTGCTCAAAATTTAAACTAAAATATAGTCTTGAATCCGTCACTAATGGTTGTTTATGTTCAAATTCAATGCCACAATCCACTTGCTTCTGAGAAGTTTTTTTATCATGAAGACACATGTTTTACCTATTTAGGAAAAAAATTCTAATCTATTATTGAGCAGACAAATTTTTGTTTTAGAATATCAAGGGAAGACTCCCAAAGATTCTCAATGCTGGCAAAATGCATAATTTAAACGATTTTTTTTTACTTCATCACTATTTCATCTTAATGCTTTTGATGTATAAACTTTCAATACGCTATAGAAGTAATTAGAGATCAGCAATACTAAAGAAAATTTAGAGTAAAGTGTAACAAATATCTTCAAATGGTTATATAACCTGACAGCTTGAACTTTATATAGTTTTGTATTTGAGGTATGTACAGGCATACCCTTCAAACATAGTGCAATAAGAATTATACATAAATCAAAATATTTATAATTTTACAACAAAACCCTTAACAATATTTGAAGTTTTTCCAAATTAGTTCGTGATTCGCTCAAGTTTACATCTAATTTATCAATTAATGTAACAGCAGTAACAAATTGAAGAACCGTGACAAAACTTTTTTTACAAGGCATTGATATCTTGCAATTCATTTCCTTAATCTGATAGCTTTGGAGATAAACTAGAGGTTCCAGAAAAAATCTGACCTATCTGATATGCAGTTTTATCATGGATAAGTGGCTCAGTTTCCCCGGGACCCTGAGGAGTAACTCCAACCGTTGCTCGTCTTTCTCTATATGATCCCCAAGTAACTGTATATAGACCAGCAATGATAAACGATCCACCGATGATGCTGTTGTTTGTCACATGAATAGTAAAAACCATACGAATAATAAGAAACTTTTTTCTTGGACGGGTATAACAAGAAACTTCTGAATGAAATGGAAGAAAAAGGAGGTATATATGCTATATACCTTCCCAAGTAAACTGGACTTCCAAGGAATATCTGAGACAGTATGACAGAAAAGCCGGGTTGAAGTGGATTGTATAGGGCAACCAAAGCTGGACCTAAAATCTTATTGCACCATGTAATGAGCCCATAGTTAAGAGCAGATGCAATAGTTCCCTGAACAAATAAATGAAAGTGTTTGTTGAAATCTACTCGTTAAAAACAACCAAAATTATCTAATAGAAGTTTAAATCCATCAAAATATTTGCAAGAACACAAGAGAATAAGAGAATAACCATTCGCCAAAGGTGGCACGTTAGGAATAAGTTATAACAGAGACTGATTCAGTATTGAATTTCAAAACAAAAGTTGAATAATGTAAATACAAATCTTTCCTCGAACAATAAATAATAAATTTCCACATCACTACAGTAATAGAGATTTTTCACTTCCATTAAAATCTTTCAACACCTCTTAAAACAGGTTTCACTAAATAATTTACAAATACTTAAGACTTGTATACTAACACCGGATCATAATTAAACCAAAAAGTTAAAACTTTTAAAAGTAAGGCAAACTTGCAAAAATCTTCAAGTTCTGCTTTGTTAACTGCGATGACTTCCTTAATCAAACCATCAATAATTAATAGAAGGCGTGTTGCAAACAATTAACATGAGCCAAGTTTTGAAGACAGCTCAAAAAATTCAGTATATTAATAGAAGTATGGGCCAAAATCATAAGCAGTTATTAATAATGATTCATGAAACTGGATACTGATTTCAAACTTTGGTACGTGTGAAAATGTCAAAATGACTTATAATAAAAAACGGAGATAGTAACTCACAGCATAAATAACAGCAAGTATTTCAGACGATGTCAGACTCCAGTCAGTTGACTCGTTAGTCATAAAAAATGACACCACCACCATCAGAGCAGCTCCGAAGAAGTATGAATATGCCGTGACAGATAGGTTTGAAGGATATTTTTTTAATACCGGTGCCTGAAAACAACTAAAGGTGATCAATTAAATGCACCAACATTACACATATTGAAGACCACTAAATGACTAAAGTTTTCGCTCAATGTTGTAATTAATAGCCATCTAATTTAATAGATATCATAAAAAGATGCATACCTGAATGGCCAGAAAAGCAGCCATACACATGCAGTTCCCTATCAAGCACAGAACCCCGAGATGAAAATGGTCAAACCCAAGATCCTGTAAACCACCAATAAACCATCCAGAAGGCTCAGGCTGACCTCTCGCACTAATTTCATTTTGTGCTACATGATCAATTTCTGTATTTCCTACTACAGCTGGACCGCGATACAAAACCATCAATACGGCACCCGAAACACAGATAATAGTTCCTGCAACCTTTGCCAGACCTTCATATCTAAGCAAGTTTACTCTTTCTGTACTGCATTAAAAAGTTTATTACGGGAATCATTACTGTATATTCTGGTTTATCCATATAAGTTTAGTAATAATTAAGATTATGCAGTTTGTGTCGGTGTTTTATGATACACAACGCAAAACTGACCCCATTATTACAGCGAACAAAAATGTAAAGACTGGAATGGCCGGCTGTGTGGCAGCAGCATAAGTTGGATTTGTATAGGTTAAGCCAAGAAGAAACAGAAGTTGGTTGCCAAATATCCTGTTCATGAATCACAAAGCAAAAAACACCACACTCATCTATAAAAGATTCTATTATTCATAAATGATGGAAATAGGAAGTAAGTGACTAGTATCGAAAACCTCACCCAGTTAATCCAAGAAAAAAGAATGATATCAGGAGGTCCTTAGTAATGGGCGGTCGTGTCTGTCTTCAGACAACATGGTTTGATCAAAATAGTCGTCCAACATTAGGAAAGTGAAGAATACAATAAGATTTGGTTGCAAGTTAATTTTTTCAATTAAAATTTGAATATGTAGATTGCAGCATAGTTAAATGTACTGAGGAGGACTTGATCTATGCTGCTAACAACCAAAATTAGCAGTCATCGCGAATTTCATCTTTTTTATCAATCATCGTCAAAAAAAATGATTTATCAATCATCGTTATATATGATAATAATGGATGTCAATTTTGATTACGCCAATTTCTAATGCAACAGTGTAACATCATTCAACTGCATTCAAACCCAGATAAAGAACCGAACAAAAGTACACATTTTTACAACATGATTTTGAAAAGGAAAAGGGAAAAGGGATCATACTTTTCACGAATATAAGCGATAGGAGCAAGGATAGAGAGGGCAATTAGATCTCTGTAGAGGCAAAAGACTAACTGGTTAACCCCGACGTTAAGGGCTACTTTGGTAATTACATGGTACCCACCATTGAATAGCTGCACCAATGCCATACCCAAATGCGCCTTCCATACGTCACTCCCCATTGATCCTGAAACTATTGTTGCCATTGAAATCAATCAAGTTTATTGCTTGATTCCTGAAACTTCCAAACAAGAAGAAATTATTGTGTGATGTATTAGAGAAATGGAGAAGAATTGAAAATTGGGGTTGGTGGGTTGGTGAACACCAAACCTGGTGGTTCTCTTTCTTGCTTTAACTCAAAGAAAAGTGATGTGGTTTTTGACTGAGCGGTGGTTGATTTTGATGGGGGGTTTGATAAGCTCTGAATCATTGATGTCAACCTTCCATTTCTACATGGTATCACCTGCGATTTCCTTCCTTTCTTATCGTTTACTTTTTTCCAAAAACTTTTCTCTTGCTTCTATTTTATCAACTAGTCTATTTTTTAACTATTTATTTTATCTCATTTTTTTTTCATGTTACACATTCATTTGTCAATGAATTTCAGTTAAGATATCTCTTGGTCTAATTTTATGCAAATTGAGATGCTCTTCGGTTTATTCCAAATCAACAAAATAACTTCTACTTTAGAAATACATCTCTTATCTCAAATCACACCCTAATTCAAAATTTCAAAACTCTTCTTCTATTCTAAATCAATAAAATAATCCACATTTTAGAAATTATTCGGATCATACACCACATTATTCATATTAATGTTTGTAATTTTTTATCTTACCAGTTGATCAGAATTTGTCAGAGACTTCGACTTCAATATTGTAATGGAGAAGGAGGAGGTGTACTTGTAAGACACTCTGATGCTAAAGTCAGTAGGAGACAGAGATACAAGAAAGAAATCAGGAGTTTTAGAATGAATATTGGATATTGGATACATGACTCTCACAAGTGTGAGGGTTTATATAGTGGCTTTGGCGCTTGGCAATTGGTTTCTATTTTTGGGCCTAGATATTAGGTTCTTCAAAAACAGGTAACTGCCAAGAATTGGTCAAAACGAACATAGATGCTCGGAACTAGATGTTATGACGAGCAGAGAGGTGCTCACGGGAAAAGATGATTTTGGCTATTCCTGGGTAGTTGTCCTCGTGTGACCGGTTGGTCGAGGACCAGCCTGTTTGAGCAGGCAGAGGTGGTCTTGTTGATCCTAGGGCTCAATCGACCACGACTCCTCGACTGAGGGACAGACGCGTAGTCACGGGCAAGCGTGTCATGGTAGTTTCTGAATGACTACTTTGCGGGTGGAGAGCAGAATGAGAAGTAGTTGCTGACGCGGACATAGGTATAGTTAAGGGTTGCGGTGGTCTTGTTGGTCCTGGGGGACAACCGACCACGTGTTCCTGGCTCAGGGGCAGAAGGGAAAAGGTGTCCTTTACCTGTCCCAAGTTTTAGAACTCATCAAAACTAGTATCAAACAATGTAGGTTTCGTCTAACGTGAGGTGTATGTTCTATATTAGTAAGGTACAATGAGATAAATGTAATATCCAATTGCTAAAACGGTCAAACTTAACTAAACAAATTATAATAAGATTATACATGTTTAGAAGCAAGAATTGAGAATGATTCATATGATGGATTAAAACAAGGAGTTATTCACCCAACTGAAAAATATTCGAGAATTGTATGAGATACAATTGGAAGGAGTTCCTACCTAAATAACCTAGTTTTGTGTAATCAGTCTAATGCTGACTTAAAACAAAGTGAAATGTGAATCTCGACCCACTAGAAAATCTTCCAACGGGATTTTCCTAATCAAATGATGAGGGTCATTTGTTTTTAGTAAAATAGTGGGAGCATATTTAATTAAAGGTCAAATTGAATATGTTGTTTTAATGATACTTATATTTCATATTTTTCTTGTAGATTATCATGACAACAAACACCTCTAACAACATTTTACAATCAATCCTTGATAAGAAAAAGTTGTCTAGGACAAATTTTCTGGATTGGCACCGAAATCTGAGGATTACCCTCAAGCATGATAAGAAGTTGTATGTCTTGGAGACACGTGTTCCTGAAGTGAAACCTCCTAGTTCTGCACCTAAGGCAGAAAGAGATGCTTATAAGAAGCATGTCGATGATGCCAATGAAACCGCTTGCCTTATGCTAGCTACCATGAACTCAGAGTTGCAAAAGCAGCAAGAGAACATGTCAGTGTTCGATATGATCGGGCATCTGAAGATGATCTATCAAGAGAAGACAAGAAATGAGAGGTTTCGGGTTTCAAAGGCCCTTTTTAATAGCAAGTTAGCTGAGGGAACCATTATAGGTCCCCATGTACTCAAGATGATTGGGTATGTGGAGAACCTTGAAAGGTTAGGGTTTCCCCTTGGAAAGGAACTTGCAACTGATTTGATCCTGCAATCGCTTTCAGAGAGTTTCAGTCAATTTGTCTTGAATTTCAACATGAATGACATGGACAAAAGTCTTCCAGAGTTGTTAAGCATGTTAAGAACTGCTGAGAAAAATGTGAAGTCAAAAGGGAAATCCATTATGATGGTCAGTAATGGAAAGAAGCTGAACAAAAGGCCCACCAAACAGGTTGGTAAAGGGAAAGGCAAAGAAGTTGTCAAACCTAAACTTAATGTTCCTGCTTTGAAGCCTAGTGGAGGCATAGCAAAAGAGGGTACTTGCTTCCACTGCGGTAAGACCGGATACTGGAAGAGAAACTGCCCAAAGTACCTGGAAGATAAGAAGAATGGAACAGAGACTTCAAATTCAGGTATTTTTGTTATAGAAATTATTTTATCTACTTCTGCATCATGGGTATTAGATACTGGATGTGGTTCTCACATTTGTACCAATGTGCAGGGGCTAAAAAGGAGTAGAGATTTGGTAAAAGGTGAAGTTGACCTACGAGTTGGCAATGGAGCAAAGGTTATCACTTTAGCCGTAGGAACTTATGTTTTGATTTTACCTAGTGGTTTAATAATTCAATTACAAAACTGTTATTATGTACCTGCAATTAGCAGGAATACTATTTTTGTTTCTTGTTTGGACAATTTAAAAATATTTTTGAAAAATCATTTAGTTACCTCAAAAGTTTCCAAATTTCAATGATATAAATATAGAAATTTCTACCATTACCTTTTTAAGTTTTTCCTAGGATTTCCAACTCCCACTTCTTTCATATTATATTTTGAAGATTATTTTAGAAAGAATGATAAAGATATATATTCATTGTTACTAAAACCCAACATATCAATAAAAGGGCCAAAACCCCATCCATTTGATCAATAAGCAAAATTTTGACAACCTTGAAAACAAAGTGAGTCTAGAGATTTCCTAATCTAAACCTCCATAAGTGTCTGAAAGTTTATTCTTATATACGATGTTTTCCGACCATGTAAGCTACATTGGCACCAACCTTATCCTAGAAACTCGATGACAACTCAATAGACAAAACATTTTTATCCATTGTCTCATGTAAAACTCATTAACGTGCTCTGAAATAACCTCCATACATCTACCATGCGTTAACCTTAAACCTCATATCTTGTTCTTGTTATGAAAGTCTTTACTACCTCATGATGAATGAACATCAACATTAGAATCTTATAAAATATATCTCACATATTTTAAACTCTTTAGCCATGATCTCTCCACCATGCAAAATGTTCAACACCTTATGTTTAAGTCTAATGCAATCGCCTAAATCATTAAACATGTTTATGAGTAACAAATTTTACCTAAACTCTAGAATATACTACACATTATGTAGAAGAAACTATCGATCATCGAACATTTTAAGTGTGACTATACCAACATCATAAACCTTGTAAGCCTTATTGTCATTGAGGCAAACTACTTCACATTTCTCCAACTTTAAATCCTCAAAGTATTCTTTTCTTTGAGTCATGTGATGAGAGTAACTTGAGTCCATGATAAAACTCTCTTCAGCCTCCAAACTCGACATCACTAGTGTGCCGACACTATCATAACTATCCTCATCAAAGACAACAACAATTTGAATATAATTTTCATGTCCTCTATCTTAGGAAAATCATTCATGAACTGATCAGGTTTTTGAAAAAGAAAAATATTTTAACCTTGACTTGCAAAACTTCTTGAACTTAGACATCTCTCTACGCTACTTCTTCCTTCTGAGACACTCAAATTTTCACCACTGTCGTTTATCCTCAAATCTTTAACCTTTGAAAAATTCTTGAATCTCACCGTCATCTGAATTTCATTCAAAGTATAATACATTTATTATCATAAAAAAGAGCATCCTTGAACTACTTAAAGGATATATGTAATGAGATTAACAATAATAAAATATTCTCCTCATCATCAATCTTCAACTCAATATTATTCGGATCATCAATAATTTTGTAAAATTTTGTCAACTGCTTCACTATAAATTTGTTCTCTACTATTGGAAATGAATAGCGTTGTTTCAAACACAATATGTGAGCCAAAAATTTGATCATATACTACTATTCAAGTTTTGTTCGCATCGAAGTCGTGGTCTTCTTTCCTTAAATTTCCCTTACAATTTTATCTCTGACACACAAGATAATGACACTCCTAATTCAAAAAGTAAAAAATAAAAAATAAAATAGAATTCATATTAGTTTTATTTAAATAATAATAATTTAAAATAAAATAATAATCGTTAAAAAATTAAAAATATGTTTTAGTTAAATGCCTTCTACACGTGGCAAGCTTTAGCAATGTAAAATGCAAACAAAGAAATATTCTCAAAATTTGAAGTTCCATAGAATTCAAACCCTTAACAATTGAGTGTTCTAACATTCTTCCAACCACTCGACCAACTATTATTTGTTGAACATGTTTACCCCAAAATCAATTAATAATAAAGCCAGTTAATTATAACAACTTAGAAAATTCCATCTACATCTTCTTTTTAATATCTTAATAACTCTTATATTATTTTTATTATTTTTTAATTTGTGTGCGTCTTAAACCACTTTTTGTGTTATTTGTCTTCACTATTTTAATATCATAAATATAAAATTAATTTAATCATAAAAGTATGTATATTTTTTTCAATCCATAATTTTTATTTTAACAGTAAAATAACTTTTTAATATTATACGTACCAAAATCAACGTTTTATTTTTTTAAAATAATCATATTCAAACTATATCCAACCATTTATAAAAAACTAAATTGTATAAAATTAAACAAACCAAAATAATTTATTTATCTCATAAAAAATTATTTAAATACTTTCTAAGCAACCCCGTGCAACGCACCGGTTTATTACCTAGTAGTTATAAGTTATAACAATTCTCTTTAATAGGCATAAAAGACCACTAAGGCGAGAGACAGTTTTTGTTAAAAATAATCCGTATCACTCTCAATCTAATCATCATTTGTCCCGTCAAAACTGTTACAGAGATAAAATACAAGCTTAGGTCAACTATGGATTACCCTCTTTCATCTTGGAGATGCTCTAGGTTTGTAATCTGATTCACGGTTATTGATTGTTGACCAGTTATCTATTACGGACCTTG